ATCCTCTTATTCACTTTCCATAAAGGTCACAATGGCTCCGGCTGGACCAGGAGCTTTATTGGGTCTCCCACATGGGTAGTAGTGGCCCAAGGACTTGGAACATTCTCTGCTGCTTTTCTCAGACCATTAGCAGGGAGCTGGATTGGAAGAGGAGTAACTAGGACATGAACTGGCACCTGTTTGGGATGCCAGCATTGCCAGTGGGCCCTGTTGGAAGCATTTTCTGTCATCGAGTATGCGTTAGCTACATGCATTCTTTTGCCATGCTTATGCCACTATGGGCTTAGGGATTTTGTACCCAGTGGGCTGTCGTAACAGTACCGCTACTGGTGCTCCTGTTGTGCCAAATTCACCCAGTGGGAGCCCCTTGAAGCTGACCCAGGGGCCTCTTCTCTGCTCCCTTAGTCTGTGAATATTGCCTTGCTTTCTAGCACAGGATGTCCTGGGTGCAGCCTGCGCTGTCCTATCCCTTTGGTTTGGTAATGGGATGGCTGGCTGGTCTACACAAGCCCTGCTATATTTATGAGTCTTGACCCCAGTTGCATGGTTCTGAATTTAAACAGTGATGTTATCTCATCTTCCTGCAGGGTACCTTAGATTGATTGAGGATTTCCTCAAGGAAATGCAGGCCAGTGATTTTCGTAGTCTAAAATCAAATTTTCTCTTATTTTCATAGTCTAAAACCAAATTTTCTCTTAAGCAAACAGCTGCATGTAGAGTCCTCATGGGAGCACTACAAGCAGGAGGTCAGAGTCCTAGGTGTGCACCGTAAGTGCTGTGACCAAGGGATATGACATTCTCTGGCTCTGGACTGTAAAAGCTGAACATGCAGGCAGGTTTCTTTCTCTTCTGCCTTCACTTTTAAAAAAGATTTATTTTCATTTAAAAAGCAGAGTTACAGAGACAAAGCAGGAGAGAAAGAGAGGTTCACCGGTTCACTTAACAAATGGCTGCAACTGAACTGGGTCAGTCTAGAGCCAGGAACTTCTTCAGGTCTCCCGCATGGGTGCAGGGACCCACGCAGTTGGGTCATCCTCTGTTTCTTCCCAAGCACATTGGCAGGGAGCTGAGTTGGAAGTGGAAGAGCAGGGACTCGAACCAGCACCCAAAATGAATGTTAGCTCTGCAGACGGCAGCTTTACAACTCCCTGTGCCACAGCATATATACCCTGCCTTCTCTCTCACACTTGCGTGCTCGCTCTCTCTCTTCCCCTGGGAATTTCAGAGGTTTCCCCCTGCGAAGGTAATCTCGAGGCTTACAGTCATTAATTTACCTTTCTCATTCAACCTGTGGTTATTAGCTGTTCTAAAAGTTCCAGGCACCTGTAACTCATCCCTATTGCTGAGCGCTTCCGTGTTCAGGCTCTGCTCTCAGACACCGCCGTGTTGCCTCTGAGTCTTTCTTTTGAGCTGACCGAGGCACCTGCCACCTTCTTGTTCTTCCGTGCTTTAGGAGCTTGCCTCTTGTTTCTCATTCTGAGCAAGTGCCCTGTTCTTGGCACCAGGCTTTATGTGTGTCTGCCTTCATCCTCACCATTTCCGTGTGCAGACAGCAGGAGGAACGTGGCTTCTGGACTGAGCTTGCTGAGCGCAGCTCCTGACTGCCGCAGACTTGCTGGGTCCTAGCATGTTGCTGGCCCCTCCGTGCTTATTGTAAAATGGGGATCATAGAGTGCCTGCTCCCTGCCTTAGTAAATGTAGGATTTAGTGATGAAACCCATCTGAATTATATAGAGCCACGGCTGGCGCAGGTGGTAAGTGTTCTGTGAGAGTTAGCTTCCATCTTCATTTTCTTGTATTTCCTGAAACTCCAGTTTTCTTTTTGTTTTGATGAGTTTTACTTTGAAAATGTTTGATTGGAAAGGTTTGTTTTGTGTACACACACCCACTCACTCCCCACCCCCCATATAGTCAAACTTGAAATGCATTTAATCTGTGGGAATTTGCATGCAAACAGGTTTCAACACTTCATAAGTAACTGCTGTTAGTAATTGTTGTAGCTGCTATTAAGGCAAGCAAGATTAGATGTGTATTTACTGAGAAGCCAGCATCCCTTAAGTATTTAAATTGAATGCAGTCATTGCATTAGGGGCCAAATAATTTCAGTGTACATGGGATTCATTACAAATGACTTTTCATTTCTATACTTTGGCTAATGGCCTGTTGAGTATGTCTTATTACTTATGGAAAAGATGTTTTGTATTTGTTTTAAGCTGTTGGGGATTCTCTAATACTTTAGGCATAAACTAGTGAAAACATCTTAGTTTTTCTATTATATGATTCCATCAACTAAAAAAGATGAGTGAAACTTCGTAATGTGTATTTGTGATCCCTGAAGGATTGACTTGAGTGTCTGAAAATACAGCTGCTGAACTAAGCTTGACTGTGGGTGTTTCTTTGAATAACATTAACTTTGTAAAAGCGTGACCTTGAATTGAAGGACCAGTTAAAAACCAAGTACATCTTTGTTTATTCCTATAAATGTGTAACTTCTGTGTTTCACTTTTAGCTAATCTTGTTTATCCTTAAAGGGGCTGACCTGGTTACCTATTGACAACAGCAATCAGATTGTCTTTTATTTTTGTAATTGTGTGTAGCTCTGTGATGCAGCATGGCTCTGTTTTGAGTCAACACGTGGTATAACTTGCAGTCAGATGAATGGGGCCGTGTCTCTTCCTGAAGCCTTTCAGAACCACAGTGTGGGACTGCCGGTCAACCTGGGGGTTCTGGTGCAACATACTGTCCACAGCTGCAGCCAAGAGGCAGGGAAAACATTAACTCAAAATTTTAAACTCAAATGTAGATCAGCTTTCTAAGAAAACTTTGAAAGTTTCCAAGAAAAACTCCAAGAAATTCTAACGGAGCATATTATTCAATTCATAACTATCATTTAAGAATCATGCTTACAGATTTTGTAAAGTTGGAGATCCACACCTGACAGTAATGAGATCACTGAAGTATCAACCCACTCAGCCTGTTTCACCCATTGGTGTGCAGCCAGTGAAGTACCTGCCATGACACGGACATCCCATATCCTGGCACCAGTCTGTGTCCTAGCTGCCCCACCTGCCAGATCCCTGCCAATGTGTCTGGGAAAGCAGGGGAAGGTGGCCCAAGTATTGGTGCCTCTGCCACCCATGTGGGAGACTTGATGGAGTTCCAGGCTCCTGGCTCTGGCTGAGCCCAGAACTGGATGTTTCCAGCCATTTGAAGGGAAGGCTAAGACAGCACATGGAAAACTCTGTGTGTGTGTTCATGCACCCACCTGCCTGCCTGTCTGCCAGTCTCACTCTGCCTTGCTAGGAGCTCTTCATGGTCCTGTGTTGTAGAAGAGTGCTCCCATTTCCTGATGAGGAAACAGGCATGCAGCAGTTGAGTGGCTCGTCCAAGGTTACAGCTAATAGGAGCCAGGAGGGGCTTCTGAGCGGGCACTCTGTGCTCCAAACCACTAGGCTGGGTTGTCTGATTCATGTACTTGAACCTCCTCTGTGTTTATTATTGCTGGCAGAGTTTGGGCCATGTATTCGGTTGAAGGGGTTTCATGTTTATGTTCATAAATACACAAAAGAATCCATGGTTGTTGACTATTTGCTTATTTAATTAATGATTGCTAATCATGCCTTTATAAAAAGAATGATTTCTTTAGCAACAGATCATGATTCTGCCCATCCTGCTCCTCCATAGCAGCTGTATTACTTATCTATAGCATTAATAGCTACTGCGTCTGCATTTCACTTTACATCTGCTGGATGTTCATTAGCAAAATCAATTTTCAAGTATAAACTATCTAAAGATGAAAATATGCCAGCGAGAGTTGATCAGACTCTGTACTTTATAAGATTCAAGCTCAACTTGAGAGGATCAGATCTGCTTCAAAACAAAGGTTGATTTTTTTTTAATATAGAGCATTTTGTATAGTTTCCATAATGATGTGCAAACCTTGCTGTGGCATCAACAGACATACTGATGGGAGGATCATAGAGCTAGAACAAAATGAAGCTGTCTCGCAGCCGCTGGGTGTCTATCCTTGACCTTTATTTCCTCAGCTGTAGAACAAAGTAAGACATTCTTATTTACAGTACTATAATGATTAAGCAAGTCATTGACGAGAAGTTATAATTTGCTTAGTTGCTAGATTCGTTTTTAGGAAGCAAATTTCCCCCAATTTGACTTCCTCTGCACCCAAGTAAAGTTGTGTTTGCCTTCTGTCCTCTTTCTTTTCAGGATTTAAATTTATTTTTGCATCCACACGACACAAATAGCATTTGTCTATACATGTGAATGATGCGTGCATGCCACATTCCTGTAAACTTTTATTGTTAGAAAAGAAACAAACCTGTGATGATTTTTTTTTCCCCACTGAGGTAGTAACTTGAATCTGTTGAAATAAGTTGCAGTTTTTAGTTGTAATATATAACCTAAATGAATTTTTTAAATTGTGATACTTAAAATGTTGCCAGTTCAAAGAGAGGACATTTTGGAAGCCCAATGGGATTTTATATGCTGGAAAGTTACCAAGTTACCGTTCTGATTACTGATCAAAGTCAATTCACAGAAATGTGCATTTAACATTTGAAAGTAAAACCACTTGAAAATCACCTCCCAGTAACCTTTCGTGTCTGGAAACATTCCGTGGAGGAGCTGTGGAGTGTTGGGGTGTCTCCTGGGCGTGTTCCTTTTGGCCGGGTGCTTCGGAGCCCCACCCCCTGGTTGCTGTGGAGCTGAGAGGCTTGGTGTGTTGCCGGCTGCCCTAGCTACACTAAGGCTTTGGGTTTCTGCGTGTGTTTGACCCGCTCCGTTGGTGTGCACCACCTGGGACCCAGAGCAGCACGGGAGAGATGTTGGAGATTTTGACCTGACTGGAAGTGAACTTGGCTGCGAGGCCACCGCCGAGGGTCTCTGGAGACCTGCGCCTCGCAGCTCAGGTGTTTCCTGTTGTCATCATGCAGCCACCTGTGGTCAAGATGACTGACTGCTCTGTCTTCTTACGTTCTTTTAAGCAAAGTAAAGCAGCGGTTCGGCTGAGAGAAGACATGAAAAAGATCGTGGTGGTGCCGCTGCACGAGCCGGAGGAGACTGCGCAGCCCAGAGTGTTTGGGGTCAGTCTGCAGGAACTGCGGCGCCAGGGCCTCACGGAGCACGGTGTCCCCGCCGTGGTGTGGAGTCTTGTGGAGTACCTGAGGCGGCACGGTGAGTGGGCCGCCGCTTGCCTCTTGGCTTTCTAGTTAGTTCCGTGCTTGGGTGAGTTCCTTATGTGCGCGTTACTGCTTAGGAAAGAGCACCCTAACTGGAATATCAGATTATTTCTGGTATACTTTTCCCTTAAGAAAGGATATTACTTCTTAATGTTATTTTTTTTAAGTGCTAATTTGATTTACTCTGCAACAACTGATTGAATTTTCCAAGTTGCTAATTTGAAATACTGCCTAATATTTTTTAACTGTTCAAAAGTCTTTATGCATTTGTTCGTGAGACAGGTGGGCAGAGTCTTCCACAGGCCAGCTTTCACAAATGCTCACAGTGGCCTGGCCAGGGCGTAGGTCCCAGACAAAATTTGGGGTGTCCCACAGGAGTAGCAGAGACCGACTCCCTGCTGCCCCCTAGTGTCTGCGTTAGCCTCAAGCTGGACTTCATTCCAGGAACAATAATTTGGGATGTGCGTCTCCCAGGGTCTGCTCCTATTTTTTATTTTAGATTTTAAAAAATTGTATTAGAAAATCAGATATACAAAGAGAAGGAGAGACAGAGAGGAAGATCTTCCGTCTGATGATTCACTCCCCAAGTGGCCACAATGGCCTGAGCTGAGCCAATCCAAAGCCAGGAGCCAGGAGCCTCTTCTGGGTCTCCCACAAGGGTACAGGGTCCCAAAGCTTTGGGCTGTCCTCGACTGCTTTCCCGGGCCACAGGCAGGGAGCTGGATGGGAAGCGGGGCTGCCGGGATTAGAACCGGCACCCATATGGGATCCCGGGCGTGCAAGGCGAGGACCTTAACCACTGCGCCGTTGTGCCGGGCCACAATATCTTTCTTTCTTTGTAACTCTATTTTCAAATAAAGAAATAGTCATTTTAATACAGTGAGTAAAAGGTCTCAATTGTAAAGGAGTTTTGGGAGGCTGTAATCTGAGGCATAATGATGGGTTTTCATCATTCTTATATTAAAATAACAAATGCAGCCGTATGGTAGAGGCTGTTATAAAGTTGATAAGGATTTTTAGATGCAAAACTTGAAAAATTCATACCAAGTCCAATGCTCCTCCCGTTTGCTGCACGCCCCAGCCACTCTTGGGACGCCAGCCCCATCTCCCTGCCAGTGGGCATCCTTGGTTGACAGGGCAAGGCGGTACTGTACCTTTGTTCCTCCAGGAACAGGGATCCACAGGGACAGGGCTTGAGAATGGACGTCTGTGTCCCTTGGCATATCAGCTGTTAGTTTAGAAACATATCTGCTTAGGTTACCAGTATGTCAGTAACACAGCAGCGTTTTACCCTGATAGCTGAAACGCCAGGCTTGCGCTCTGGTCTTGAGGTTTCCTCCCTGTTTTTGAAGAGAGAGAAGATGCAGAGGGTCGGGGTTCTTAGAGCACAGCTCTGGATTTGTGCACACGAGACAGGGAAGGACCAGGTAGCAAGCCTGCAGTGCTTGCCACAGCCAGGCCTGGACCGAGGCACAGCTGGGAGCCTGGAACTCTGACGAGACCTCCCACGTGCATGGTGAGAGCACAGTCATTTGGGCCACCACCACTGTCTCTCTTTTGGTGGCAGGAGGCAGGAGGCAGGAGTTGGAAGTGGCTATCTTTTTTTTTTTTTTTAAAGATTGATTTATTTGTATTGGAAAGGCAGATTTACAGAGAGGAAAGATCTTCCATCTGCTGGTTCACTCCCCAAGTGACTTCAACAGCTGGAACTGAACTGATTCAAAGCCAGGAGCCAGGTGCTTCTTCCATGTCTCCCACGTGGGTGCAGGGTCCCAAAGCTGTGGGCCATCCTCCACTGCCATCCCAGGCCACCGGCAGGGAGCTGGATGGCAAGCAGGGCTGCCAGGACACTTGTGCCCATATGGGATCCCGACACTTGCAAAGCAAGGAGTTAGCCACTTAGCCATTGTGCCGGGCCCAAAAGGCAGGTATTAAGCCTGAAAACTTCAGTTTAGAATAAGTCCAAGGTATGATTGGACTCCTTTTTGCAGGCTGGGTTGAATCAGACTGCACCCCAGGGAAAGGGTGTAAATATTTGTTAGATTTGTTAAATAGAGCTTCTTGGTATTGTGCAATGTTTTGCCTTCCCACAGGGCCTCAAAAGTCCAGCTTTCTCTGCGTCTCTACTGATACTATTTGGTGTGGACCATACTTTGTGGTCTTTGTATTTGTTTATCTGAAAGGCAGAATTGTTGCTGATTACCTTCCCACAGGGCCTCAGTAGTCCAGCTTTCTCTGCGTTTCCTGTGTGGAGTGGCTCATCTGCTGCTTCCCCAGGTGCCCTGCTAGCGAACTAGGTTGGAAGAAGATCAGCTGGGATTTGAACTAGTGCTCATGTGGGATGAGAGTTGCAGGTGGTGGTTTAATCAGTGGTTTCATGACTGGCCTACAATCTTTTTTTTTTTTCACCAATGTTGACTAAGTGTAGCATGAAAGATTATTCAAGGTTTTCAAATTTTAAAAATTCTTATATTTAATCAGTCCTCCAAATGTAAGGGTCACATGTTTGAAGAGTCCACCAACTACAGATAGAAAATACTTGACACAAGATTGTGTCTGCTGAGCACGGAGAGGCTTACCTGTAGTCACCATTGCCAAGAGAGCATTTCCACTGAGTTAGGTGGCTGTAATCCAGGAATTATTTAATATATACAGGAGAATTTACATAGTTCATATGCAAATAGTTTATTCTCTTATTGAAGGGACTTATGATGCATCCCAGATGTAGGTGAGGGCTCATATTGCATAAAGAGCTTTACTTTTTTAAGCTTTTAAAAAAATATCTATCCATTTGAAAGGCAGAGTCACAGAGAGGGGTAGAGGCAGAGAGAGAGAGCCTCTGTTTGCTGGTTCACTCCCCCAAATGACTGTACTGGCCAGGTTGGGCCAGACTGAAGTGAAGCCAGGAGCTTTAGCTGGGTCTCCTACGTGAGTGCAAGGCTCCTGGCATCCTTCGCTGCTTTAATATCTTGCCCGGCACATTAGCTGGGAACTGGATCACAGGTGGAGCGGCCAGGACTCAAACCTGTGCCCATAGGAGAGGCTGGTGCTGCAGGCGGTGGCTTAACCCTCATACCCCTTCCTGGTCCCTACTTCTAATTCTTTTCCTCTCCTACACTCTCTTCCATTCTGTGTGTGAGTCCCTCACCCCTGGGCGTTGAACTTGTTCTGCTTTTTGTTTTACTGTTTCTGAGCAGTGGTTCCACGGGGAACCTATAGTGTGTATCATTTCAAGCACATTTGCGAGCGCCTCTGCTCTCATCTTCCTGGAAGTCGGCTGCTTAGCACATGTGTGCTTGTCCTCAGCTCTGCAGCAGGTGAACCAGCCCATTTGTACTCGCAGCATCAGTGCGTGCGAACCTTGGCAAGACTGGAAGTGGGGCAGCACACTCTTAAGCACTCTTAACAAAAATGCACTCAGGTAATGCCAACTAGACGTTCTAGTAAGGGGAACTGACCATTCTTCATTAGGGACATGAAGTACAATTGCTACTAACCCCTAATCTCCTGCAGCAGAGCCTTGACAGGGCTAGGGCCTGGCACCTGCATTTTGACAGTGTAGTATATTGCCACGTACCAAACTGGAAGTCTACTTCAGTTTGAAACTGTCATATTACTAAACTGTTGAACCCATGTGCCTTTGAAATGGGATATGCAGCTTGAGGACAGGATTGTAGAGTTCATATTATTATGTCATGGTCAGCAAGTCATCAGATATTTACTCTGTGACATAATCCATACTTGTCAGGTATTGGAGGAAGGGGATAATCGCTCACATATTCTAATCACACTTGGAAATTTTGGTCTTAATGCATCATCTAAATGCAGACAGTTTAGCATGAAATTTAGGACAGGAGGTCTTTTCGGAGACTTTGGGCTTTCTGGCATGTTCTCTTCAGACTATTTGCTAATCATTTGTCTTGCTGACCCTGTTAATGGATTCTTTCAGTTTGAAGGTAATATGGATTGTTCTGTTCTGAAGAGTGCAGTACTGACCCATGACCACCAGGTGGCAGACGTGGCTCATATACTGTTTTCCTGCTGGGGAGCATATGCTAATAAGCTGACTTGTGGTGTGTTTAGTTTCTAATGATACATTTATAAGATTTTGAAATAGAGTTTACCTATGCTAAAAAGTGGCCATCAGTGATACATGATTTTTCTGTTTTTTTTTTTTTCTAAGCTACCATTTGGTTGTTGTTTTATGATGATGGACACATATCTGCTGAAGTCAAGTGCAATGTGAGCTTTGGAATGGAGAATAGCTCTACTTTGTGGAGCTAATTTAAAACTCTTCTTCAGAACATTTCTGTAACAGTCACAACTTCCTCATATTTTACAGTAGGAATATTTAGTCTGGTCAGCTTGAAATGAGCAACCAGTGTTTTGTAGAATCATGAGGGACTTTTCAAAACAATACATTTGGGCCTGGTGGTATCATGGCCCTGTGGCTAAATCCTTGCACCACGATCCCATATGGGCACCGGTTCTAATCCTGGCAGTTCCACTTCCCACCCAGCTCCATGCTTGTGGTCTGGGAGAGCAGTTGAGGACGACCCAAAGCCTTGGGACCCTGCTCCCGCTTGAGAGACCCAGATGAAACTCCTGGCTTTGGATCAGCTCAGCTCTGGCCATTATAGCCACTTGAGGATTGAACCAGCAGATGGAAGATTTTTTTCTCTGTCTTCCTCTCTGTACATCTACTTTTCCAATTAATAAAAACAAACTTTTTATTTTAAAAAAAAACCCTTACATTCTGTTTCCCACAGAGCGATATGTCGCCTTCGTGGAGTAAACTTCCTTGGTGGCAAACTGCGAGGTGTCCTGAGAATTGTCTCAGGTGGCGGAGGTTTGTGCAAATAAATGCAGTGCAGGCAGGACAGGAATGTTCCAGAAGGCTTTCTGTCCGTGACTTCTGGCCATGACTTTTCTCTCTGCTTGGGAGGCCCAGTGGGATCTGGGGCCTGCAAGACCACAGGCTGTTCTTGGAGCTGAGCAGTTATTTTGAAATTGGTGGACGTATGTTTATTTGAGGAAAGGTTAAAAAAAAAAGAACATTGGAAGAGACATCCTAAGGTCAAAGCTAGAAAAACACTGTGTGAGAAACAGCCCCAAGGGGCATTTCCTGGGCTGAGAACAGAAGCAGAGTTAGGCTCCAGGGCTGGTAAACAAAGGAGCAGGACACGATTCCAGAGTCCCTGTGCTAGGATAGGACATTCCTTCCGAGCATGCATTCCCGAGGGAGAGGGGAACCTCCGAGGTGAGCCGTTAGCCTAGTGATCAGGCCAGGGCTTGGGACACCCACGTGCAACCTGCTCCTCTGTTGCCAATGTGGAATTGCCTTGTTGGAGTCCTGGATACTCTGCTTCCCATCCAGCCCCCTGCTGATGGACGTGCTGGGAAGCCCAGATCATGGGTCAAGTCCCTGGGTCTCTGCTATGTGTGGGAGCCGCAGGTGGAGTTCTTGGCACCTGGCTGTTAGGGACGTCCGAGGAGTAAATCAGCCAGTGAGCCACCTCTCTGTGTCTGTACCTTTCAAGTTAAAATGAATGAATGAGTACATGAACCTTTGTAGGATAGAGCAAACAGACCACGAAGACTTTAAATGATCAAACCCAAGTCTCCCACTGTACCTGCTGTTCCGACAAACTGAAGGGAATGATGTACTTCGCTTGGCAATTGCATAGCCAGATTAGCTCCCTTCCCCCAGCAGCAAGCAGAAATAGTACATTTGCTATTCTTTCACAATTTCTCTGTGTCAGGAGTCTGGACACAGCTTTGCGGTGGCCTCTGTCTCAGGATCTCTTCCCAGGCTGTATTTGTGGTGTCTGCTGAGGGCACAGTCACATCAGGACAGATGTGCCAGACTCCCTTCCATGTTCATCCATGTGGCACTTGCGAGGGTTTTGTCCCCCGTGGGCCTGTGACCTGAATGTCTTAGTTGCTCACTGGCTGTTGGGCAGCGATGGCCTGGAGTCTCTCCCCTGGGGGCCTCTCCATGGAGGTCATCAGCTGCTTCATCAGAGAGAGCAGATGAATAGCACGTATCACCACAGGCGTCCATGACCTCGTCTGAGCCAGGACATCCCATGACATTTGCCGTGTTGTGCTGAGAGAAGCCATGCACTTGAGTGGATTACAGCTGGGTATGGTGCGAGTGGTGGGGCTCAGGGAGTGTGGTTTAGAACCTGCCCACCACACACCCTGACTGATATTTCTTCTGATTAGACAGTACCTTGGCCATACTGAGTGTTCAACATTTTGAATATCATGGTTGGTACCACAGTTCTTGTTAACATTAGAACTAAAATTGTAGCTAAGAAATATTTTTTATTTCTTTGAAATTGAGCGAGCGAGCGAGAGATTCCATCTGTCAACTCACTACTCCAATGCCAGCCACATCTAGGGCTGAGGCCAGGCATCCAGCACTCCACCCACGTGTCCTGTGTATGTTGGAGGAGACCCATGCACTCGTCCCCTGAGCACGTCTCCCAGGGCGTGCACTAGCAGGAGGCTAGATCAGAAGCGGAGCCCACACTCAACCCCAGGCTCTCTGATAGAGACTGCAGGCCCCCCAAGGAGGCAGGTGGCCCACTGGGAGGAGGACCTGGAGGAGGTGATTAGGCTAACAGTATTCCGCTCTCTTGAGGGAGTTAGTGCCATTGTCATGAGAGTGAGTAATTATGAAAGGGAGAGTTTGCTTCCTTCTGTCTGCTTCTCTCTTGCTCTCTCTCTCAAGGCAGGAACTAGCCCCTAGATGGATACAGGACCTGCCAGCCTCCAGTGTTGTGAACAATTAATTTCCAACTAATACGAACCACCTGCTCTCAGGTTCAACACCTGGACAGGCTCTGGAGCCCTGGCCTCAGCCTGTCCCAGCCCCAGCTGTGCAGCTTAGGGAGTGAACCAGCACGTCTGTGTCTTTGGCTTTCTGCCTCACTAATTAATGCATTAAAAGATGACCACATTAGTTGTGGAGAAGACACTTTCCAAGCAGAGTGGGCCCTGATGCCTGAGCTCATCGGGCTGGCCTCACCTGGAGTGGCCCTCCGCTTTCTCCTGCTTTTGCTGAAGCTCATGAGTTTCTCTGCTGGATAACAACAGTCACCAGCTGAGTGAAGGGGCTGGTCTGAGCACTGCTTGGTCTCACGTAGCGTTCCCCTTTGAAGACACACCTGATGGCTTCCTGCAGTATCCGCATAGGGACTTCCTGGTGTTCAGAGGCTCGTGTGCTGTGGAGATGCTGCTGGAACCCAGGGCCCGATCGCACCATGTACTGCGTCACATGACGTCACTTCTCTAGATGGAAGCTCTTTGGGTACTTCGGAGGCGTTACCCACGTTTGTGTATGGCAACGTCCTGTGTATAAGGGCCAGCTCTGGTCGCCATCATCCGTGATCCTCCTCAGTAGTCTAAGCAAGCGGTTTTAAGAAATGCCAAAAGCTCCGAGGGATCCATAATTTGACTGTTCAGGGACCCCTCCACTGCCCTCTATTTAGTCCTGTGTGCGGCTCTGCTGTGCTTGGTCCTTTATCGGTTCTCTTTGTCTTCTCTGCCGCCCCAGGACTCACGCAGGAAGGACTGTTTCGGGTGAATGGCAACATGAAGGTGGTGGAGGGACTGCGGCTCAAGTTCGAGAGCGGCACTCCGGTGGAGCTGGGGCGGGACGGCGACGTGTGCGCAGCTGCCAGCCTGCTCAAGCTCTTCCTCCGGGAGCTGCCAGACTGCATCATCACCTCGACCCTGCAGCCACGCCTCCTTCAGCTCTTCCAGGGTCAGTGCACGTCCACTTGCCTTATTGTTGTAAAGGATCTTAAGTAAAGAGAGAGGTGCTCAGGCATGTGATTCACTTCCCAGATGGCAACAACAGCTAGGCCAGGCGGAAGCCGCGAGCCCAGAACTCCATCCAGGTTTCCTGCAGGAGTGATGGGGATGCTGGGCACCTGGGCCAACCTCTGCTGCTTCCCAGGCACAGTAACAGGAAGCTGGATGCCAGGCAGAACAGCCGGGACCTGATCCAGGCACTGTAGTGTGGCATCACCCTTGGAACCTTGAGTCACCACAGCACCAGGGATCCCCCACCACACATACACACACAGGAGGCATCTTAACTACTTGTGCCAAATATCTGCCCATGACAATTTTTTCAATGAAAATTAAGTTTTAATTATTTAACATTTAAATGTTGAAGTAAGCTTTGATGCATTTGTGGGCTTCCTATAACCACCCCGTTTAGTGTTTGCTGCTTAAAGCTTTCTCTTTCCTACTCAATCTATTAGGAAAGTGATTAGGAAATATCCTTAAATGGACATGTTGCAGGCCCTGGCATCTGATGTCTTCAGTTGGGTCAGTGAGGTGCTTTTTTGGGTGGGGAGCCCCGAAGAAGGGGTAAGAATGAGATACGCATTTCTATCTGGAAAATACTAGTAATTAAATTGTAGAGTCACCTTTGTGACCAAAATCTCACAGTGTGGTTGCTTTTTGGCCCATGTAGGTTGAAATCCCCAAGTAATTGTGTTAACGTGCAGATAAAACATACTTTTTATTTTTATGGTAATATGGTGTGATTTTAAACACAGGCTGCTTTTTAAAAAATAGAGACAGAAGTGTTTTCCATGCTGCAGTGGCCGGAGCTGAGCTAACCCAAAGCCAGGAGCATCCTCCTCGTCTATGTGGGGGACATGATCCCAAGGACCTTAGCCATCCTCTGCAGCTTTCCCAGGCCATCCACAGAGAGCTGGATTGGAAGTGGAGCAGCCAGGACACGAAACAGCACCCATTTGTGATGCTAGCACCTGCAGGCAGAGAATTAGCTTGCTATGCCACTGTGCTGGCCCCAGATCAGTAATTATAGGCCTGACCTAACCTTTGAGCACTCTCTCCCAGATACAAGGAAAGCAGTTTCTTAGGAAGTCCTCTTCTTCCTTGTTCTTGCCAAGTGAGCACGGTGAGGGGAAAGCATGTTTCTGTGAGCATCAGGGAGCAGGTTGGGGAAGTTTTTGGTGTTTGAAGCCGCAGCAGTGAGGTGACTGTGCATGTGCCCTCTGCTGAGGGGTGGGGTACAGGAGGAGAAAGTGCCAGAAGTGTGAGGGGCTCCCCAAAAGTTCATGGATACTGGAATTAAAGAACCAGATTATTTGGCTGTAAAAGAAATCATATATGTGAGAGACCTTCCAAAAGTTCATGGGAAATGCATATTGATAAATTTGGCATGGATTTCAGGCTGTTTTTGTTTGTTTTTTGTTTAGTACTGGAATAAGTGTTATATTCTTTTTTTTCTGTGAATTTTTTGAAGAACTCATATTTTATCCCAAAAAGGCCATTCTCATCTACTGGCTGAAAGAGGTGAGGTTGTGTTGGATGACTGCACTAACATAGCCCCCTCTCTCTCACTAACACACCTGGCTGTTCTTTGGTGGCGGTATTCTCTGGGACTCCCCTGGGTACCGATGTCCATAGCACCTCCTTTCCTGGCCTCTCACCTCTCATTCCCTCACAGCCCCTGGCCTCCAGGGTGGCCTCCAGCGTGACCTCCAGGCCATCCTGGGGGAGCAACTCGGAGCAGCTCTGACTGGAGCAGCTGATCTTGCATGCACTTGTTTACCAAGTTCTTGAAGTGAAGGTCACTGGGTCCAAGCAGAGGTTGCCTCTTTGCGCTGCCTCCCAGGGTACCCCCACCTGCTTCTATGCTGCGACTGTGGCACTTTAGACTCTTCAAACTTCCCGAGTGGTTTTCTGACGCCGCTCTACCAGCTTGGGAAAGGCAGGGCAAGCGTTACATTGAACAGCTCGCCCTTTGATGAAACTCTCATTCTTTATTGTCTAGGTTTAATTTTCAAGTTTCTGTTCCCATCTAATCCCCACACAGGTGGTAAAGGACTGCCAGGCCTGATTTTGGTCTCACCTTTGGCAGGTTCTATCTGTGTACCTGATCCAATGCGTCTCCTTAGGATGTGACAACCCTGGCATTCCTCTCCAGGGGCCTCATCTGAGGAGTGATAATATTAGTTTGCTAGAGCTATTATGATAACATAGTTTCCACAGCAGATATTCATCTCAGTCTCTAGGCTGCAGGTCAAGGTGCTGGCCAGGTGGGGTTTCTGCCAAGCCTTCCCACCCTCTGCTGGTGGGGCTGCCCTTCGCTGGATAATTATCCACCTTTAACCTTGATTAGCTCTTCTCTGTCAGACTAATGGGTAAGAATGTCCTGGCACTACAGTTTTCATGACCTATGATCAAAGATTAGCATGTAGGCTGAAATGGTCACTGTTCCATGGTGTGACTGATGGTAGCTGTTGCTGTATTTCCACTCAACTGGGGTCTTTTTGCATTAAAAAAAGAAAATTGGTAGGTTTTCACCAATAAATAATAAATAAGTAAAACCACTCCCCAGTTGAGTAAAACCGCTCCCAATTGAGTCACAGTCTTGGTACTAGAACTTTGGCGAACATTTGAGACTTGTTGATTGGAAACTGAAATTTCTCATATTTATATATGTCAGTATTTCATTGCTCCTCTTGTGCTTGGCAACTGTATCAGTCTTACAAGGAATATTTCATGGAAAACAGGGATGCGGATAAACTTGTGAAAATTATTTTTAAATATTTCTGTAAAAGTTAGTTGACAATTTAAATATTATGTACCTTGCAAAGAAACGCTTATTACCCAGATATCTTTCCTTAATTATTATTTGATAGTCACTGTGAGGCAGCACTCCCCTTCACTGGTGTACCCCAAAATGCTCACAGTGAGGATGGACATGGGAGGAACTGCAGAACCGGGAGCTGGGAGCTCAACCCAGGCCTTCCCCAGGGTAGCGGGGCCCACTCCCTGAGGTCACTGTGGCCTCTGGTAGGAAGACCGGATCACACCCTGGCTGTAGGGCAGATACTGCCTTGTCCTTAGCATTCTTTTTTTTTTTTAAAGATTTATTTTACTTTTATTGGAAAGGCGGATATACAGAGAGGAGAGACAGAGAGGAAGATCTTCCGTCTGATGATTCACTCCCCAAGTGAGCGCAACGGGCCAATGCTATGCCGATCTGAAGCCAGGAGCCTCTTCCGGGTCTCCCATGCTTACAGGGTCCCAAAGCTTTGGGCCGTCCTCGACTGCTTTCCCGGGCCACAGGCAGGGAGCTGGATGGGAAGCGGGGCTGCTGGGATTAGAACTGGCGCCCATATGGGATCCTGGGCGTGCAAGGCTAGGACCTTAACCACTGCGCCATCGTGCCGGGCCCGTCCTTAGCATTCTTAGTAATAACCGTAGTAGTCTGCGTTTTTAATATTCTTAGCACTCAAAACTCTCGTGAACTTCAGCTTTCATCACCTTTTCTAGAAGGTTTTCATGTGATGTGAAAATGCACTGTCTTACTGTTTGTATTACTCATGTGATTTGCATTTGTATTATGTGCTACTGTGATCAGTAGTATTTTGGTTACGACCAAGGGTTTCCTTTGTAAATGATCTTGTTCATGGCATAAACTTGTGGATTGCATCATATACAGGTGTAGGAGGACAAATGTTTAGTTAAGTCATGGACATTGACATCCTGGTTGGAACACTCGATCCCTGGGCGGAATGTCTGGGGTTCATGCTCAGTTCAAGCTTCCTGGAGACATTAGACCCTCTAAGGCAGGAACAACAACTCGGGTAATTAAGTCCCTGCCACCCATGGAAGAATTAGGTTGAATTCCAGGGACCTACGCTGACCTCTTCCCTAACAAGTATGATCTCTCTCTAACTCACCAACTGTGCTTTTCAAATGAAAAGAAAAAAATTAAAGGCAGGTATCAGAAAAAAAACAGAGCCTGTGACAGGAGGCAGGACAGAAGGAAAGCCATTTTAATTACAGGCATGAAAAAAGGAGTCTGATCTAATTGTGAGATGTGAAGAAGGGTCAGATGCATTCTTTTAATTTTTAATTTTCTTTTTAGTGTTTTTTATGTAGTTGAGCGGGGTGTACACTCACGTGGACCTCTGACTAGGGTGGAGGAAGGTGGGTAGGACAAACGTTTCCGTTGTTCCCCCCCTCCTCCGCCGTATCCACAGGGGAGGAGGGCAAAGAGGGCTGCTCCTTGCTCTCAGACCTGGGGATGGAAGGGTTTGGTGTTGCCTTAGGGACACTAACGTGGGGAAAAATGTTCTGAAGGTGTTCCTTGAGCGATTTTGATAGCTTTGAGAAGTTGTAGGTTGCATTGCTGCAGGATTAAGAAAATCTTTCCAAGATCTGTTGGTTGACCAAGTCTACCTCAGTGCATCCACAGACCCAGGATCATGCTACAAGGCTTGGTCAGAGTTGTTCAACCTCTTCTGCTTTCCATTCTCTGACGAGGAAATTGACACCCCTGTTGGCCTGGATGAGCTCGCCATCATACCTACTGTATGCATCTGGGTGTGCTGTCTACTGCGCTGGCATCAGCAACCGAGGTGGCTCAATCCCCTCTTACAGAATACTGATCTACTGACTGAATAGGGGTTAGAGGATTCTGCAGGGTGCTCATGGGGCCGGTTACCGGAGGTGAGAAGGGGAGGGATATGGTGAGTAAAAGCTGTCTCCTTAGGCAGATGTAAAGCCTTTCAGGTGTTATCTCAGCCGACTAGAGGAGGGTCTGGCAGTTTTCTCGGCAGTGATGTGTGGAGCATCTACCCTCAGAGGAAGCCCCTGCCTGCAGCTACTGCTCCCATCTGAGGGTCCCAGTTTGGAGTTCTTGGGGATAGTCATCACACCAGAGCCATAGCTTTGGGGAGACATTTCCTGATTGCCTTTACAAGCAGT